CAGCCTGTGTGGAACCCCCCCGGGCTTCACCAGCGTGGGGGGGTAACAGCGGAGCAGCTGTTTCACCGAGCCCGCCCAAGCAGGTCAGCAGACTCCATGGAGGCAAAAAGATCGGGGAAGAGTTCGTGGCCCAGTGAGCAGCTTGGGGAGTTCAGCTTCTGCGTCCCCTGAATCAGTTACTTACAGGGGTCCCTGACTCCGGCACCCACCAGCTGCATGCAGGTGGCTACTGATACCCCTTCCCGAACACGGATTCCGCAGCAGCGCAGGACGTCTCTCCGTACCCGCATCGCGGCCCCATCCAAGCTCTCAGTGCTCAGAACCAGCTGCACCTCTCCACGAAAAACATTCCTGAGCTTCTGGACGCAGACTTAAAAACTTCCACACAAATCCCTGAGCTCCTGTTCCAACCCAGCTGGCATGGCTCTCCGCTGGGAAGGTAAGAACTGTGGATTCCAAGTTTTGGACACCAATGTGTTTTTTTGTTTAAGTCTGAGACAGACCACAGGTATTACATAGTCAACCTAATTCTCATCCAGACTCACCCAGGCACTGTCTGCACACGCAGCAGGACATGGTCTTCCCCTGCTCCTGTTCCCAGCACACCAACTGGCTGCTGTCTGGCCAAGCCGTACCACAGGAGACAGGTGACAGCTCCAGTCCCAGTAAGTCAGGATGGCCAGCTCATGAAGATGACTCCATGTCACCCCTCTCAAGACTCCCCTCAACTAACTCCAGGTGAAGCCAGACTTTTCCTTCATCCCTCTGCACGATGACAGCCCGCCAGAGCCAGGACAGATGGTGCCACAGCACAGTGACAAGCTCCTGCGGAACAGACCGTGTGTGTCTGCGCTGTCACCGACACCGTCCCAGCGAGACTCTTCCAGACACGCTGGCAAAGCGTCAACCCAGAGGTGCCGTCAGGTCCGCAGCTTCCCCAGCCATTCCCATGGAAAAGCCCACGCCCAGGCCCCAGCCTGGCTGCAGAACAGGTACGAGCAGACACTGGGGTGTGTGTTTGACAGCTGAACATGGGCACTTGGGCACCCACTTCGCAGTAGCCATCACCAGTAGCCAGTGCCCACCCCATCCAGCGAGCAGGAGGCTTCTCTAATAAAGAAAACACGTATTTCTAAGTACTCACTGTCCTCCTTTTTCTATATTTTTACCCATTTTTCTATATCCCAACTCAGTACTGATAACACAACGAAGGGGCAGCCTGTGTTTTGCTGTCTCCCACACCAGAACCTGCTCAGGTCCAGCTGCAGCCCTCAGAGGACCAAGAGCAGCTTGTACCCAGTGCAAGCTTGGGAAGAATGGCCCAGGCTTCACACCCGAAGTTACCTTCAGTCCCACAAAGCGTCTTTCTTCTCTCTGCAGGGTGGAGCACACAGCCCCTGCACATCAGGAGCACGACCGACCCGCAGAACAGCCCCAAGAGGGGCTGCTGCTGGCCCAAACCCACACCAGGTGGTTTATTCACTTCATATTTATTCTTCACAAAGACTGTACAAAATTCTTATAAAACTCTGGTGTGGGGATGGGCTATGACATTGATCCAAAAAATAATTCCCATGCAGTCCCACCAGTTCCATAACTTACAAGGAAACAGATAAGCTACAGAGAGCTGCGAGTCCTGGAGTATTTACACCAAGGAGGTCAGGAGAAGAGGAGACGAAGCGACACATGAACGGAGGTATTTACAACATGGACATCCAGGCCCCTCGCCTCACGGTAACGGCAGCAGCAGGAGGTCAGGCCTGTGGTGCTCAGAGGCTGATATAGAATATGGGCTATTTACAGTATCTCACATATTAACAGCTTTACAAACGTGTCCAGGGAGTTCTTCTCAGGTATTAAAAAAAAAAAAAGCACCAAGTGTCTGAGGAGAAATCACGCAGGCCTCCACGGGGGCTAGAATCTGAGGGCAGGCTGGCACCGGCGGCGTCACCGGCTGATGTCTCTGCTAGAGTCCCACATTTTTGTGCTCGGCTCCATCTCCAACATGTCGAAGAAGGGGTGCTTGAGGGCCTCGGCCAGGGTGATGCGCTTGGACGGCTCGTACTCCAGCATGCTCTCGATGAGGTCGAAGAGGCGGTGATGGTCCTCA